AGGAAGAGAAGGGTGTGAATGCAGTGGACTGGTAATAACCTGCTGCCACTGAACTCAAATGGCAAAAACCCATCCATCTGCCTTCAGTGGCTGGCCAAGGTGTTATATAGCTGAGTGACAGCTGAGTGAATTTCTCATAATCTGTATTAGGCCCAGATTCTGAAGAACTGACTGGTAGTTTATTAGATTTATTACCAGAAAGCATAACTCTTAACTGTAACTCTACTTGTTGTAGCAATCTGCTTTTGACTATAAGCTGCAAATCCTTCACATTGTTACACTGCTACATACCACTAACGGTCCTATAAATAGTTTCTATAAACATAACCATTTATATTCTGACAATACATGTTCATCCTGTTGCACAGTATTACGCAGCTCAGCCTCTAAACCTGAACTAGTAAGTAGGACCAGCCTAGGTAACACTTTTGGAGCAGTCTGTGTCTTCTGCATGATGCAGCTTAAGGCTCAGGAGAGCTGGTCAGCTCACAGCTTCTCATAGTGCTCTGGGTAGCTCCATCAAGAGCAGCTTCCTTGCAGCAAGTTCACACAGAGTCTACAAACCACCATTTTCCATGTAACTGAGAGGTTTGCTGTGAAATGCTCCTTACTATCTGCCAGTGTAAAAGAAAGGAAGGAGGGAAGCCTGGCATTACATAGCCAAACTGAGGGGAGGCCAGGCTAAGCACTCAAAAAATTATATATGCAAAATTGCCTTCTCTTCTTAGTTCTTTCCATGTCTTTAAGGAAGTGATACCCTGTACTGTGTCATAGCTATGAGTAAATGTTGAGCAGTCACACAAAAACAAAGCAGATGACGTCAGATCTAAAGCTGTTATTGTAACACATAATGTGGGTGTTTATGCCTAGATTTATTTCTTATATTAACTGGAATGCCTACTTCAGGGAAGCAGAGAAAGAAGTAAACTCATAACTTTATCAGCTATTAATGCAAGAAAACTATAGGACTCTGGAAGAGAAAATATGATAAACTCTCTTCCATCCCTTCTGATCTTCTCCCCACTTTGACTAGGGGATCAAGATAACCTGTTAAGTTACTTACCTCTACCTGTATTTCATGTACAATAGTCAGCTATCACATAGAAACACAGGTTCACTCATACTCCTGTTCAGACTGTTCAGATTAGTTCTTATCCTTGGTAGTACCCTAGTTAAGGTTTCATGATCACTTCTGTATTTTTTTTTAGAATTCTTTAATCTTCCTTTTCTTGTTTACTTTTAGCTCCCCTTTCTCTATTTATTATACACATCAGCCATGTCTACAGCCTCATGGTTCTCTTATTTGAGTCTACTAAATTAACTCCCCTTCACGCCTCCAACAGTTACTCACTACTGCTTCAGCTCTGGCACTTTTACCCAAAGTGCTAGAAATTTAGTCTTTCAGCATAGTTACAGGTCTGAACCACTTTGGAGGTAATATGAGATCCCATGTCAGATTTTTGGCTCTGGATGAAGCAAGCAAAAGGTACATTAGGGATGTGACCTGTGTAACTACAGAAGACATCACATTGTTCTGAGCTTTGCAGGGTGTCACTGTGTCCATCTAAGTCTGATGAAATATATGATGAATTGAAGCCAGGTCATCATCCACCAAAATCGACAGAGATGACAGAAAGTACTTCTCATGGATGCTGCAATATAGGGATTTAGCAGCATCATTGAACTCTAGACCCTACTCTAGCTGCAGTTCAAACTGGTACACTTTGCATGTGTACTTTGCCTATTAAATACAATTTTTTTTTTAAAACATGTTGTCTTATTATGTTTCTGGTGGATTCAAGTTACAGAAGATAATGGCAATGCCAACAGCAGATGTTGGCTAAACACTGACAAACCTCTATGAGGACTGGAGTGTGGTAAGGTGATCACTGGCCATCATCTAAGGCAAATCAGTTTTTAGGTTAGAACTTCTGGATTATCTGGATGAAAAATAAATAATGGATTGACCAGAAAGAGATTTGAATAATATAGCAGAAGAGGTCAATGAAGATAGGCAGCTGAAAGCATTAAAAGCAAGTATCTCTCAGTAACTATTTTAGACTTTTCCTTATCTTTTCCTGTTTTAGTATCAAACCTACTATGTCAAAGGGAAGGAAAAGAGCCTATCTTGATTCCAACATATATCTCAGAAACAGAAAAAAATAATGTAGGAAACATCAATGAATTTTTCCAATTCAGGCATATCAATTAAAGGAAAGAGTGATTACTTTAAAAACCTCTGCTAGTCTTATATTTTTATCTATTATTAGTTACAGGATTAAAGAGTGCTGAGGCCAAAGATTTCTGACCTTGGAGAGGGATCTGTATTCCCAGACCAAACCTAGCAGAGGACAGAAGCAGCTTCTAGATTGCATTTACATATGAGGAGACACAAATGTGCACGAGCTAAGGTGAAACAGCTTGGTTAAACATACAGCTGGAAAGCCTTTCCTCCAATGCACTTGTCCAGGTACCAGAAACATGGCTAGAAACATTTCACAACACTCCCTTCAGCTCAACGACAGAAGCATTTGCTCCTTTGGGTTCAGGTCTAATCACCTGCTCTTCATTTGTGAGCTGATATTGTCCAGGTACTGAAGTATCTTGATGGTAATAGTGGAAACCAGTGTTAACTAGGAAAGAGGCACCACTTTATCTCTACAAGAGCCTCACACCTGAGTCTATATTATCTGCCTGATTTTCCTAATAGCTGGAAATTGGATTAGAGAAATAATTGCTTATTTGGCTCTTCAGGTGGGAATCCTGTGCTTTAGAGCAGTTCATTTATCTAGAGTGTCCTGAGAAGATAATTTTACGAAACTGTGGGTTTACAGCCTGGCACTATAGTGGGTTTCAGTAGAAATAACACTTCTGTTACAGCATTAAGCTCTAGAAAAGACAAATTTATGTTTTAAATGTAATTGAGAAGAGGAATTTATTTTAAAACCTAGATGTTTGTGGAAGCTGATTAGGACTTCATAGGGAAAGCTGAGCCTGAGTACTTGATAACTCGTCCTTTTCAAATAAATCCACCAGGTAAGTCTCCTTAAGTTTTGGAACTTTTCCACCTTGTCTGATTTCCTGGTACTTGTTCATACAAGTTTTGCCCTGTAAGCACACCTTTGATTAGCTGTGACATGGCACCTTTCCTTTCAAATGAATCTATTTCGAAACTTCTTGTACTTAAAATCCATCTAGACTTCCTTCTTGAAAGGCTTTGAGACCCAATTCTTTCCTCACTTGTTCCGCTTAACTCAGTGTATTTGCTTCCACAGAAAAGATTACTGTTGCGTCTTGAGTGTCCAGAAGTATCCCCATTAAATAAGGAAAAACACGTTTTACTCAGAAATGCTGAGTCATTCTCAATTCCCAGTTTGGACTGGGAAGTGAATGGGGGAATGCATTTTTAGAACTGCATCACAGAGCATGAGCGGCAATCCAAATAAAGGATGACTCTTTATTCATACATATGTATACGTAACCTGTATGAGATTTAAGTTCTCTTGTCAAGAGAGTAGAGAAAATCCTTTACATTTCCAAGCTCTCTTTTGCAGTCTCAACATAATTTTAAACAAGTGTATCTCTGCTCCAATCCAGACATGTGGCACTAAATGTAACATCGGAATCTACCCCCTTTCCAGGATTGAAATCGGCTACCATCTGGATAGACTAAAGTGTTCAGTAGCATAGTCTCCCTCCATGACATGACTGGATTATCTGTACAGTGTTAAACATAGGGCTGTAAGAGCTCTCTGGTAAAAATACCCTTCATCTTGTTCCAGTCAACAGACGGCTTATGATTTGACCCCATTTCTTTTGAATACCTTTTTTGCCGTAGATTGCAGTTCCTTGTTTCAGCAGTAATCATGCACCTTGATTCCTTTATATGTTTTTTTTAATTTTACTTATCAATTATGATTTTTGTTAGTCTCATTCAAGTAATTAATGAAGTTCCATGTCATGTGGCCTTAACATAACAAAATCCCCACAGATGTGCTGCTGACTTTCTGGGCTAACATACATTAGGTGAACCATGGTAGGTGCGAGACTACTCTTACCAAACCAGACATCTAAGATTCAGCATAAATATGTTTGCACTTAAATGTTTTCCAAAATTTTTGTGTCAATTAAATGTGGCACTAGCTGACTTTCTTAAGCCTTGGTTAGATGTCTCTGGGAGACTTGGTTACTGTACTACAAACTTGGATTTTGGTATTAAGCAGTGTATTATTGATGGCTGGCACTGTTTAAGAGAAGTTAAGTGACTAGAAGCCTGCTTTGCCAGCAGCTGTATAAATCCACAGAAAAATGGTGCTGTGTGGCCTGTACTCTCTGCTGATATTTTCAGGCACCAGGCGGAAATCAATTTGTAAACCTCCTTTACGAAGTGCCTGGGAAAGCCAGCCAGATGGTGGGTGAGTGGGGTTACGTTCACTCTATGCATAGTCTCTCTTCCCTTCCAAAACCTTTTAAGGGTCAACCACTAAAAAACCATTGGCAGCCACCGGGTCGGGCCTCTCTCTACAGAAGAGTCGCGAATTGTCGCCGTGGGCCAAGGAACGTGGACAACGACAGGATTGCTCTTCCGGCGACGGTAACTCCCCTGGGATGAAAAGGCTCGGGTGTTTACGCGGCTTCATCCGGGCGGGAGGGCCCGTCCTCGGGAGAGGGATCTCGTGTCCGGCGAGCGGGCGAGTGGGTGAGCGGCAGGCGCTGCCCTGGCTCCTTCCCCGCTGCCTCCCCGGGATGCCGCCCGGGGCGGCTCCAGCGCCCCTCCTCCTGCCCCGACGGCCGCTCGCTCCCGCTCCTGCTCCCGCTCCTGCCCCGCCCCGCCCGCGCGGCCCTTCGCGCTGCCGGAGCGTCAGCGGGAATTTCCAGCCAGGAAGTGCGGCGGGCCGGGGGCAGGGGCGGAGGCTGCGCAGGCCGGTGCCGCTCGGCTGCCCTGGCCGGCGGGGCGGGCGGGGAGGAGGGGGAAAGTCCGCGCGGAGCGGAGCCGGGGCGCGGGCGGCGGCACGCCGCTTACATGGCGCGGCGCTGAGGGACCCGCCGGCGGCACACCGCCACCACGACCTGGAGGACGAGGCGCCGCCAGCCCTGCCCTGCCCCGGTGAGCCCCAGGCGGCCCCTGACCCGCCGCTCGCCGCTTTCTTTCTCCGCTGTCCGTGCCTCGGCGCCCGCCTGCCGCTGGCTGCGCTCCCTCTGCCCCGCGCCAGCTCGGGCTGGGCTGGGCGGCGGCGGCAGCGCCGCGGGGAGCGCGGCAGCCCACGGAGCGGAGGTTTGCCGGCGGGAAGCGTGTCCCCGCGAACAGCCCCGCGCCTGCCACCTCGGCACGGGCGCGGAGCTCCCGCTGGAGCGCCGGGAGGAGCTGCCGCGGGATTCGCCCGCGCTCGGCGCGGCGGCTGCGGCGAGCCGGGGGAGCGGGCGGGATGCCGGGCAGGGCTTTTCTGGTGGGGTGCTACAGGGGTCTTCCTGGCGAGGAAAGGGGTGTCTGTGACAGGCTGTCCGGTAAAGTGAAAAATTCTGAAAGCCCGACTTGTGCTGACGGCGTGTCGGGTGCTCGTAGGGTGAAGGAGGTGCTGCTCTTGTCAGTTTTGGTTTCGAAGGTGACACACGTACGTGCTCCACCTGAGACACAGCCGGGAGCGCCCGCCGGGGCACAGCATCAAAACGTGAGTTTGGTACTGGCGGCTTCGGGTGTCTTCGTCTTGGGTGGAGCCCGAGAGTGTCGCAGATAGTATTTAAAAAAGGCTGCGTTAAAAGGTAGGAAAGAGTGAGGTTTTTAAAGGTAATTTAGTAATAAGTGATGAAACTGAAAAGTTCTCATCGTGAGGAGGAATATTATTAGACTGATTGGTCTGTTACACTTGACCTAAAACCCAAGAATATCCAACTTCTCATCATCGCAATTTTTTTTGCTTATCGATGCTTTTTCCTTTGATGGTAACTTTGGTAAAAAAGCGCTGTTGACATTGTATGTGAACAAAAAGCGGAGTATTATTTCTGTGACACATGCTATGTGTTGTTGGGCTATTATCATACTGCAGCGTACTACTGTGTGATTTCATTCAAATAAGTGAATGTGAGTGCCTGTAAGCATTTGGGGAATAAGACTTAAGAGACAAGGGATCATCTGCTGTTTCAACTTCCTGTTTTAAAATGCTCAAAATCTTTACTTAAGAGTAACATTTTAAAGGAAATACAGATTATTATTATTTTTAAAAGCGGTTTTAAAGTGCTGATCATATTTGACATGTTTTGTGCTTCAGAAGTTCTCTTTTCACTTACTCTGTTCAGAGAGAAAAGTGGATGAATTCTTTGCCTTAACACCTCACGTCTTAGATTCTGTGAGGTGCTACACCACCGCTGTCAAGCTCACAGAACAGAGTTGAAAATTTAGCACTTTGATTTTATTGACATCCGGAGTCTCTGTGCTATGTACTGTGTAGTACCAACTTTTGAAATAGCGTTTCAGTCAAAGCATTTTTACTCTTTCAGAAAAGAATGTAGCTGCCCCTTCTAGGAAAGCATTAACCAAGACGTCATTCTAAGATATCCTGTCTGCAATGTTTTGTAATCTACAGAAATGACTACAGTTTAACTGAGAAAATGAAAGATGATAAAGCAGCCTGTAACAATCCAGAAGCAGATGCTCTGTTCTGCAAACTTCTCTGGCTCAAGAATTTAGCTAACAGTTATGCTGAAATATTATTGTCAGGATCTGCCACAGTGTGTGGAGATTTCAAGGAATCTCAGTGCTGAAATCTGTGCAAGATTGGTTAAATAACTTAATCTGAAATATTTCTTTCCACCCTTTGTAAGGAAAGAAATATCAATCGGTGATAGTCATCAAAAAATGGAGTCATTTTCTCATGCAAGAAATGAATACGCTGACTAGAGATAAGAGAACAGCTTTGTATCACTTTGCATCATGTTGTATGTTTTTAAAAAACAGTGTTGTAGTAGATAAACTTCATACCTTCATTTACTTAATTCTGGCAGCACCTTGGTAATGTTTTTGTAGTGTTTATTTTGAAGTCAGAAAAGTTTGCTGGAAAAAAGTTTGCTGGGAGAGAGAAAAAGAGAATCTTGGAAGAGGGTGGGAGGGTGGAAAGCAGACAGAGATATTTCACTGATGTGCACATTTGAAAATTTCCTGCTTCATTTGTTGAAAAACAGCAGTTCTAATTGTTTCTCAGTTACTATGTATTTGACTTTAAAAATCAATTTTAATAATAAATTTAAATTTTTTCATTGAAGTGGCATTACATGAATTCAGTAGGATACCTACAAATAAATATCACTGACGCAAATTTGCTGAATAATAGATTTTTGAGTTTCCTTTTCCCAAAAACTTCCCATACCACTGTCATATGAATACATGCAAACTCCAGAAATATGTTCAGTTAGGAATTAATGTCATTGTGCTTATTGCTGAGCCTGGAAGTACGGGAACTAAGTTTGAAGGCCTGTGAGTCTTTACTGTCAAGGGTGCTTGTATACAAAGTAGATTTTGGTTTTGAAGTTGCAAAGATACAGTGAAAGACAATATATTTTTTACTAACTTACAGTTGGTTTTCTGATGTAGTGATGATGAAATTCTGTGGTCTTCAGAGATTCTGGTTAATTCTGTGTTTTCATAGATCGCTTCAAAATAACTTGCTAAGATATTTTCGCCTGTCAGTGCTGTTTGCCAACTCTGAATTCAAAAGTATCAGTCTTAAAGAAAATGGTTACTCATTTAGGTAAGCAACTAATGAAAAGTCTAAAGTTAGCTAAAAAGTCTTTTTTCTAACACGTTGATAGCTTTCCTTTGGTTCTCAGACAAAATAACACAGCTATTATGAAACAAAGAGGAAAGAATGTTTCAGGGGGAATGAAAAAACAGTTCCTGGTTTTGGTCACTTTTAGCTTTGACACAGGTATTTTAGAAGTGGAAGTCGTAATTTGATGTCCTCTAAATAAGCTGTGAACCTTTTAAGAAGTTCTGCATTGATAAGATCATAATTATAGTTGCATTAACTGTGCCCTTAGGTCAGTCAGGCAGTAAGTTTGCATCTAACTTCAAGCACAGAAATAATTCGCTGAATCTTCTTCAGTGCTTTCATTTAAACATATGTATTTTGCTGAAGCACTGCTGACAGTTTCAAAAGTAAGGCCTTAAAAGATGTTTCAAATTATTATAGTCTCAAGGTAAAATCCTTTGTTTAGCATTTAGGTGAAGCTGACAGACCATGTGTGGGGAGGAAGCTACTATTGCTACTACTAGCATTATTTCCCCCTTTCAACTTCGATGTTCTTTTGAAAATCAGTGACACAGATATGGGGTTTTTCTTCATTTAAAATGCTAAACTGAAATACCTCTGTTTCATTTGTCGTCCAAGCAAATTGTTCTGGTGTCAACAGGTCAAGTGCAAAGTAGGTCTGAGTTGTGTGGTGTTGGGCTTTGTTTGTGTTTTCTTTGTTTGTTTTACTTGGGTTTGGCTTTAGTTTTTTGTTTCTGCTGAAGATCATATTTCTATCTGTTTAAAGATGGACAGATTTTAACATAAGAATGAAGTAAAAACGAAGTAAGCAGGTGATTTTTTGGTCTCATTAGTTTAGTCCAAGTGGGTTTTGTTGTGTCATAGGTTACTATAGAAAACTGAGACTGCAAGAGTTTTACCATTTCTTTGTAAAAAGCAAAAAAATAAGCCTTAGTAACCACTTTGCATCTATAGATTTGAAAACTAGGGTATAGCTGTGACTGTGCTGGACTCAGTTTGACCTGTTTGGTTCCACTTACTGTGTTAGTAAACTGTTTCTGTCATGTTATGTTTTCAGTGGCTGTTTGGAACTAAAAGGACGCTGAGAATCCCTTAGCTGACTTTTGTGATTGCAGTGGTAACAGCCCTTGCTATTTTCTGAGCCCTCTTCTGCTACTGTTGTTCATAAAATAGGGGACTGTCTTCAGTAAGACCCCAGAACTTGTGTAAGTGAACTTGGTGATAACAGGAAACCTTATGTCAACTAGACTTCTGAAATCTTGGGTTTACTTGTTACTTGGCTTCTCAGAAACACTGTTCTTCCCGTGCTCCCCTCCCACCACTCTCCCCCGCCCCCCCCGAAAAAAAAAAAAAAAAGGAAAAGTTTACAGTTTAATACTGATGATTCATGACAGTTAAGGCTTAGGAAATGGGTATATGTGGCTTGTTTATTCAAAATTTGACTGATGAACAACTTCTGTATGAAATAGAACTATTTGTAGAGAACATGTCAGTCTTTTTTCTGATCTGTAGGAAAAGTAACAGCATTTTAACATGATATTCAGTTTAGTTCACATAGTAGTAACACCCCACGTGGCTAAAATACAGTGTAGTTACTAGAGCTGTTTTGCTGTGTTGAACCTCAGTATTTTTACATATACTTAGCATTATACATGTACCAGAATATATTTGCCATATATTTGAATACTGTTTATTCCTTTGGTTTAAGTTGCTTTGAATATGTTTTAACAAAAACATTCTAACTTTATTCCAACAATATCGTGGAAAAACAGTTTATATGTTTATGGCATTTTAGTGTTTCCTCTTGACATACTAGTTCACTACTTTGATACTTGGGAAAGGAATGAAATGATAATAGAGCAACCATTCAGGTAGTCCAGTTACTCTTTGCCAATTGAATTTTCTTATGCTATGATTTTTTTTTTCTTCAAATAATAATAAATTTGCTGTAATAAATTTGATTCTAGATTTTGAATCATAAAATAATTTTGCACCCAGCAATTCTGATTTAGAGCATCACACTTCTGAAATCTCTTAAATATTTGTGATTGATTTAATTTCCTAAATATTTTGTAGTTTTTCTACTGCTGTCAAATAATGCATCTGCTCACGACTAAAAATATTTGAAAAATTTAAATTCAACAATTTTTAAATTTTAAAAATACACAGAGACAACTGCCAGGTCCCACCCAACAGGAAATAATAAACAGGCTTAATTATTAAGAAGAGGAGGCAATTTGTGTTTTTATATTAGAAAAACAAACAGTGTCATTTAGGGTTATGTAGTGTTATTGCAAATGCAACAGTCTATGGATAAGAAAAAGTCTGCAGAGGAAAGTAGAAT